AGACTTTAAAGTGATGTATCTCGTATATCATGCCATCCATTTTTCATGATCCCCTCACTCCTCGTCTATCGAAGCGACAGTGTGAAAGACATCGAACGATGACGATCTCCCGAGCGGCTCCTGCACTTCGCGACTCCATGGACTCCAACAACGGAATAGAATTTCTTAAAGCATTTCTTAAGCATTTCGTTAAAATGAAAATATCTTGAAACAAAGAACAACACTGAAACGAGCTGTTCAGGGTGAGAAGCGATCTCTTTGTTTCTCCTAAATTTCTGCTTTTCTTTAATAGAGTCTGTTAGACTCGATTGAGGAATACCGGTGATCTCATTCTCCGTGTCCTGCTTCAAAAGCTGCATGTTGTGGGCTTTGGATGGTAATCTGCGAAATTTGAGGGTCATGTAAGAGGACCCCAGAAAGAGGCGAGCAAGCTGTAGAAAGCATGACACAGTGAAAACCGTTTTCGGATCTGGTAACACTGCGCCATGACAAAAGCGAATAATTTCTTGGAACCATTGCAATGATAATTGCGGCCAACATCGCCTTACAATAATCGTACAGAAGGAGTTATGGCCGAGGCTGCGGTTTTAGACTTTTTTTTTTAGCCTTTGCCCCACATGCTCATGTTTATTGGTCAAATACGGTCATTTAGGTACCGGTCATTTCGCTGTCTTCCGGAATCCGGAACGCGGCCGAATCGGAATCAGTTCATCGTGTCTTCTGCCCCGGTACTGTACATTACCGATTCATCATCTATCAAAAAGGAAAAAGCGAATGGGCAGTCATAAATTCGGAAGTTGAGAGGTTACTCCAAACTCTGCAAAATATTGAGCGTTCTAATTTCCTCATATGAAAGGGGAGACGTGATTCCGTGAGAAAAGTAAGAAAAATGACGAGAAATGAGATTGCGAATGCGACAGGGTTCCGGGCGCTTCACAGCTCCCTTCTTGCTCTATAGATTGCGATGAAAGGCGCAATTTAGGAAGTCACTTGGCACGGGTGACAGGTACCCTGATATATGTGCGGGAGTGTTTTTGCAATGGAACGGTAGAGCATAATGTCACGCGTGCCAGGCATACCAGATTTGAAATTGGGGAATCCATGGGGTACACCGGCTATGGTCGTCGGCATCCGTTCACGTGCCTTTGATTTTTTGGCTAACAGCAGTTGAATGCAAACGGAATCTACTGAGACATCCAAAGGCTCATGTAATGTTCTTGTGTAGAATCGGAGTAGGAACGGCCAATGTAAATAATGCCTCACGGCACGAACGAGGCTTGTTATCCCTGACTCAAGATGGATATCGCCCGGTGGGTCGATACGGGTGCAGCTACACACCTGTATATAGTCAACAGAATAGCGCTTAAAAACCCGAGGCTCCAGACAACCTAGACGAGGAGAACCTCGAGCCCAGATCCACACCCGGCTCGTGGCGCCTGCGCCCAAGGTCATCCACGTGGTCCCCGCCACAGGTTACCCACGAGTTGGGGAAGGAGGGCTGAGTCTTATTCCTTCGATTGAGGGAGAATTGCGACTCAGAACTTCCTCGTATTGCCAGTCGATATATTGATTATGCGCACCAAACGAAGCTTAAGAGGTTGACCCGAAATGAACGAGTATTCGACTTCAATTCGGGAGGCCGATGTGGGCAGAAATGCCCCTTTACGACTCAACTCATGCTTTCAACCTCTCAACATCCCTATATGGAGTCGGCTGTCTAGGGCTACTAACCCCGTATGTGCCACCTACATGGAACCATCTCTGCAGCTGCGGGGCGAGGCTGAATACTGACCTTCGCCGTCGAACTTCCTTTCCACTTTAAATGAAGGCTTGCAAGGACAGAGATCAGTGGTTTAATCACATTCAACTCACAAAGAAATGTCTAAGTTTATACACATGAATGAGGTTTTGGTCTAGGTCAACATCAGGATTAGGACCAGGCTTAAGTTTGTATTCTCCATGAACAGGGGGTCGTAACTAGAAAGCCTAATAGAGCCTAACCATATAATATCTACCTAATAGGAATTTAGAAAGCGATCTCTTTCTGCAAGCCTTCAAGTCCTCATTGTTCTGAGATATTATGCAACAGGAGATTTATTCTGTGAAGCTGGCGACCCCGTTGGTGTGACAAGGATGACTGTTTCCACAAAAGAGAGCCTGTAGTTTCTGTAGAGCCGTTAAGGATGTATCAGAAGTTCTGTGCCAAAGAGCTAATGGTTTCATTTATTTCCCCGAAGAATCCAGAACTGAATGCCATAAAACAAGGTTTCTTCCCCATCGCACAGTTCCCAAAAGTCCTTGGTGCAATTGATGAAAGTCAATTCCATCAAGGCTCCATCTGCGGATGAGGAAGTTTACATGAACAGAAAATTCTTTCATTCAATCAACGTTGAAGGCATTTGCAACTCTGATCTTATCTTCACGAATATTGTTGCCAGACGGCCAGGAAGCATACATGACAGCTTCATCTGGAATACACGTGACGTCAAAGTGTGATTTGAGAATGGGAATTTTTGGGAATGGATATTTGCTTGGTGACAGTGGCTATGGTCTCCAAATGTGCTTGTTGACCCCCATAATGAAAGATTCTCTCCCTTCTTCCGGGAGAAAGTACAATAAGGCTCTCTAGCAGACAAGATGCATCACTGTTGTTTTGGCGTTTGGAAGTCGAGATTGAGGTGTCTGCTCAAGTCATGCGGATTGTTGCAAGTGGCACTTGAAAAACGCTGTAAAATAATTGTGACTTGTGCCACAATTGTCCACAACATGTGCAAAAGAGCTGGAGTTCCAGACCCTGACATCGAGTCGGAAGATGCTACCGTCACCGATGATGCTGACTTGGGAAGTTCATTTGATGCACCTGCATCAAATAATGCCAAGACTTTTCGAGACAGTGTTGTGAGACGCTCTCAATAAAGTTTTCGAATTCTGTCGAGATTAAGGGTGGACTTTTGAACAGAGAACTATCCGATAATGCAGCTTTATTTCTGAGAAAATGCATTATAAATCCGATAAATAAAGCAGCATTATCGGATAGTTCTCTGCTCAAAAATCCACTCTAAATGTTTTTCTGACAAAATAATTAGGAACAGCCACAACAGATTTTAAAGGGCTGTTTAAATGGCCTATTAAGCCATTGATATTATATAATATGCGATAAATTCTGTGATATTATATCCTCAGATAACTGGATGCTATGAGTCCAATACTATGCATTCCAGTTACGCTAATAAATCTCCTCTAACCTTCTAATAGCAGCATAATAGCGTCATAATAAATAAGACTGCGTTACGGCCCCCTGGCTATAAGGCATAGGCAGGTCCAGCTCGATGGTTCCGGAACAAAGGGCCCGACAAAGGGCCCAGCTCGATGGTTCCCGAACATAACCAGGATTGATAGTTCTTGATTAATCTTTAGAACTCGGACTCGTATGTGCACCACCCGCTGAGTGTCAGAGTGCCGAATGCCTCTCCGCACAATGTCCTATTTGTTAAAAGCCGCTGCATATGTGGTAGAAACCCTTGCAAAATGCATGCTGCTGAAACGATATTCTTTCCGCGTGGCGGATGGAAATCAAAGAACATGAAAGTTGCAAAGAATTGCAACCGAAGCATTCCAGTCCCTAACGATTCCAATGGAATCACTTCCTTAATTTAATAATTTAATCTCATAGGAGTGAAGAAGCATTGATCCCTAGAGCGCTTTGTCTATATGTGGCACAAATCCAAGCCACTCCGACCACATGCAGAGAGAAATTCCAACTAATCTCTCAACAATAAAAATTTTGGCTGGAAAGGGTTTAAGCAGGAAAATGGGAACGAGGAAAGGTCAAGGACATGAATCGCGTCTATATCCAGTTGTTTTCCGAGCCGGTTTCATTGTCGGTCGAGGGGAAATCCACCTGTCCACCTTATAGTACTTGTAATATATAGGAAGGAAAATAATCGAACTAACGGAATGGATAAGGCAGAAATGAATACTATTTATTTTCGTTCACACCAGAATCAGACAACCTTGAAAACTCGGGCAAGGCAAAGAATCCAAAATTATTGAATGTATTTCAATATAAATGAAAGGCTCGAGTTAAAATAACGCTTTGAATTCCATGGAAATAAAGTTATCACTGAAAATAATCTACACTTCCCTCTTCCCACTCCTGCAACTTTCATATTCGACTATAAAATTTCCATGCGTGCAAGAAACGACAAGGGAAAATGGTGGCCTGCCTCGGGGTAGGGGGCTTCAATGTTTCTGTCTCGGGGGGACGGAAAGAGAATTCTCAGCTATCTATGAAGCAAAGCAACGGCGTTCACTTTATTTTCGGAGATGAATTTGTTCTGTCTTGGCATTAAAGAATCGGGAAGCGCGATGATTTCTCTTGTCAAATCGGCAAACTGATTCTATTAATTTTTTTAAAATATAATACTGGCAATTTTTTAGTCTACTTTACCATCCAGAGAAAAACTAGGTACGTCAGTGTTTCATCAACCATTAAACGCGACTCTCATGCATGAGACCAGGATTAAAATTCAAAGAAGCCTGCGAGGACCGAGAGGATCGATGGCGTTTTCAGATCCAGGATCTGATTACCCTATTTACCACCTTTCTCGGTATACGTAATCGATGAGGAGGGCATTTGCATGTGCCCGAGCAGCCAAATGCGATAAAAACGTGGAAGGCTCAGTGTATCAGTCGCAGGTAGGGGAATGTTTTCAGCAAGGGTCTCATAGCAACATGCAACGATCGGCAGGAGCATATCTACATAACAGCGACGACCGTTCTGTGAGCCTGCTCACTCTGGTTCATTGGCCGCTGGGAACGTGAGACGAGACCTCCGATCGTCCTCTTAAGTCTCCGTCTCTTTTCGAATCAAACATGGTAAGCCATGTCTCCTTCATTGAGGGGATCCTTCTTGAGAAAGTCATATAAGGCATTTCCTACGCCTACCGTTTCTGATTGAAACAGTCTGTTTCCGTGAACTTTAATTTCTAGTTAGTACTATGTACGAGGTATGTAGTTTGGTTTCGGGCATACAGTAACGTACAATCCTTGCCTTCGTCGCGCCAATATGACTAACTCCATGGAAATCAGTCGCACACGTTGCCAGTTGGCATCGATCGGCGGAAGCGAAAGAAAAAAGCGAGAATCCCAAGAACGGGAGTTTCTTCTCGTCCTATAGAGGGAATGCATCAGCATCCACATCGGGCAGGCGGGAGTGCAGATGGGGAACGCGTGCTGGGAGTTATATTGCCTGGAGCACGGGATCCAGCCGGATGGGCTCATGCCATCCGACACGAGTGTGGATTACGAAGGCGATACCTTCAACACCTTCTTCATGGAGACCGGTGCTGGGAAGCACGTCCCAAGGGCCGTCTTCGTCGACCTCGAACCCACTGTCATAGGTAGGAATTCACATACAAAGTCTCGATGGTTGAGTGCAATGCTTTACAGCAACACCTTTAACTTTGTTGGTTGATGTTATGATACTCAGTGGCGCTATCGTCGCATTTTGAGTTCCTTTTGGTTTTTAGAGTCGACACCGTTCCTTTGCTATGAAGGGCCAACTCTCAGGATCCCATTCGCGCTCGCGCATTCTACATTTGGAAAACTTCACACCTATGTCATGCTCTGTACGGGAGCAGAGTCTTTTAGAATTATTATCTGGTACTCTTGGAGGTCTGAAAGCACTTCCGAATTAACTAACTCAGAACTCGATATTTAATTATCGAGTTTTTAATAAATGCAGTAAAATATGCAGCGCACAAAATATGCACAGCGCGGAGGGGAAGCGTAGTGAAGCGTTTTGCACAGCGCGGAGGGGAAGCGTAGTGAAGCGTTTTGGTGCTAGGACAAAATGTCGCCGGACACAATGTCGCGGACGAAATGTCGCGGATAAAATGTCGCCAGGACGAAATGTCGCCGGACAAAATGTCGCCAGGACAAAATGTCGCCGGACAAATTGTCGCGGGAAAAATGTATTGGACTAATGTTAACGAGACATACTATCGCTTGATAAAATATTCGCCTTACGTAATTAAAGATGCGCGATAGTGCTAACGATCATGTTGGAATCGTGCGTGGAGGTCAAGAAACGGATGCAAGTGTGACCCACTAGCATTTTAGAACAACCCTGTCACCGAACATACAGCTAAGATGAAAATCATCTATAGACAATAGGCCATTGAAATAATTTCAGGATGTCTGTACGTTCCTCTTACTTTCGGCGAGTTATTTGGAAGAGGAATGTGTTTCCATGAAAGGGTTGATATACATCTTGACGTTTCGTGATGAGGGGGAGGGAAGCAACCCAAGGAAAAAGATTAATTTTCCTCTTCTTCCGCCCCCCTTACAAGTCCTCCTCACCACTAATCCTTTTGTTTTAAAAAAGCCCAATGAAGGAGACTCCTACTCCCCCCGCTGAGATGCCCGTAAGCTAAAAAGGTCATACAAAATAGTTAAGGACACAAAATAGCAGCGGAGGGAAAAAAAATCTACCGTATAGAAAGCGGGGATTTGCAACTCATAACTCAATTCATCTGCCTACTGTGCCATTCCCTGACTTGATGGAGTTTATTCAAACTCAGAAGAACGGAAGGAGTATCAACAAATTAATGAGGCATTCCGTACAATGTTGCTGACTTTGCAATTCGGGATATTGTACAATTTTTGTTTGACGTTGGACGCGTAGTTAACATTAATGTCCTGTGACTGAACTTCATCGGTCATGTGATTCCCCTTTTCTTGGGCTTGGTGATATCTTCACGTGATTTCATATTTTGCATGTGCTTGGTACTTTTTTACGGCTTTTTCCTGAAGCAAACTTTCTCTCTATACCTATCCCAGTTCAACCTCCAATCATATAACACCAGAACCACCATTTTCTCAGTGGTGACATTTTTTCTTGGCGACATTTTGTCTTGGCGACATTCTGTCCGGCGACATTTTGTCCTGGCGACATTTTGTCCGCAACATTTTGTCCGTGACATTTTGTCCGGCGACAATTTGTCTGCTCACGCAAGAGACCAATTGGATGGAGAAACCTCCCGATCTCAGAGGCATGGCTTCCAAAGAGCACTGATTTCATTTACACGATTATCAAATCTAGTTACGTAAAGTATATTGTTACGATGTCTGCGGATGTTTTGATGAGGGAAAGCAATTATAAAACTGAGCTTTTGTTGACAACGTTCGAAATGTGGGCATTTCGCGAGATGCTTTAATCTTTTGGAGGGATGCAGAATGGGATGATTATTTGCCAACTAGCGTAATTCGCTGGACCGAGAGAAATGCATAAACTCCAAACTAGGGCGAAAAGAAATGCTGCCTAAGTAGAGCACATGGATAATTGCAATTCCACGTAAAAAATGTTATTGGTCCCTATTCTTGTAGACGAGGTGAGGACCGGAACTTACCGAAACCTGTTTCATCCGGAATACCTGATCACGGGGAAGGAAGACGCGGCTAACAACTACGCTCGAGGCCACTACACAGTCGGTAAGTTCACTTTCATGACATGGATATGCTCAATATGAACACGGAACATAATGATTGGGATATTCAGGGAAAGAGATCTCGGACCTGGCTCTCGACAAAATTCAAAAACTGGCAGACCAGTGCACCGGGCTTCAGGGTTTTCTCATATTCCATTCCTTCGGCGGGGGCTCCGGATCCGGATTTACCTCCCTGTTGATGGAGAAACTCAGCGTGGACTTTGGGAAGAAGGCCAAACTTGCTTTCTCCATCTATCCTGCACCTCAGGTAAAATAATTATCCCTAATCAACTAGGAACGCACCGCTCTTGAATAATTGAAACGCATCGAACCGTTGGACAGGTGTCGACAGCTGTGGTGGAGCCGTACAATGCCATCCTGCACACGCACACGTCCCTCGAGCACAACGATGTGGCCTTTATGGTCGACAACGAGGCCATCTACGACCTGTGCCAAAAGAGGCTGGACATCATCTCCCCCACCTATACCAACCTGAATCGGCTCATCGGCCAGCTCGTCTCCAGGTTGGCTCAGACGAAGATGCATGCGACGTTGCAGACTGCTACAGGGTGGCTCGTGAACTGTACCCTCTCTTTCTCTTACCCTCTCCCTCTCTTTCTCTCTCTCTCTCCTTCCTTTCACTAGAGGACAATTTCGAGGTTCGTACTGAACTTTCGTACTGAATGAGAATGACAACATTTAGGCCATGACTTTGCCTCATTTCGATGTGTATGGTGCTCAACGATGCCAAAAAAGAGAAGCAAACAAATTCGTATTGACTCAGAATTTTCCTCCTCGTAAATATTTTAACAATTTGACTCCTACACTAACAGAGAATGGTCCGCAAGACGATAGAAGCCATTCCCCCCCCCCCAAATGTGCCTTAACACCGCCTAAAAGGGCGCGTTCAGGGGGTAGGCGTATGCATTCTTAGAGGATGAATGTGTATCTCCTTCCTGCAGTAGTGCCTTTTCTCATTCTTTCAGCATCCCTTGAGAAGCTAGGAGAGAGTTAACTGCATAAATCGACAGTAATACCATAATTATGCACATTCACACTTAAAGAACAATTACATCTCTGTTCTTCCCCGTCCAGAAGCAAAACTGCAACGTTCTCCATTTCTCTATGGAGCCCTGTAGTTCCTTCAATAATCGAAGTGCAGAGGGACAACTTAGTTACTGCTTTCTCTCATGGTTTTAGCATCACGGCGTCTTTGAGGTTCGACGGGGCCCTGAACGTGGACCTCACCGAGTTCCAAACGAATCTCGTGCCTTATCCCCGCATTCACTTCCCCATCGTGAGTCGAGCGCACGAGTGACGTCTTGAAAAGTATCACCTTGTTTTTTATTCATTCCATTATTTGTATTCTCTCTAGGCCATGTGGGCTCCGGTGATATCAGCAGAGAAGGCGTACCACGAAACCATGTCCGTGGACACCATCACTCAGCAATGCTTCGAACCAGAATGCCAAATGGTGAAGGATCTATTATTAATAAATATCGGTTTTATAAATAAATTAGTATCTATTATTATTTAATATTAGCATTACGAATCTATGACAACAGATACATGCGTTACCCTGCCCATTGTAATACATTTTATTTTTGAGATAGTAATTTTATGATTTTCCCGCAGGTTCGTTGTGATCCCCGAGCAGGGAAGTACATGGCGGTTTGCCTTCTATACAGAGGCGATGTCGTCCCGAAAGATGTTAACGCTGCCATCTCCAAGATGAAGACAAAAAAAACCATCCAGTTCGTCGATTGGTGTCCGACCGGTTTCAAGGTTGGTTCTTAACGATGATGACAACGATAACAATGAAGAAGATCAGGAATTCATACTGTTTTCCCCCTTTTCGTAGGTGGGGATAAACTATCAGCCACCAACGGTAGTGCCCGGAGGAGATCTGGCAAAGGTGCAGCGAGCGGTGTGCTGTCTCACCAATTCCACGGCCATTCAGGAACCCTGGGACAGGCTCAACTACAAGTTCGACTTGATGTACGCCAAACGGGCCTTTGTTCACTGGTTCGTCGGCGAAGGCATGGAGGAAGGTATGGTGACTATATTCCTTCCGTGTTGTCCGAGGGAAGAAATGCAATATTTGCATTGCTTCATTTTCAGGAGAATTTTCGGAGGCTCGAGAGGATTTGGAGGCCCTGGTCAAAGACTACGAGGAGGTCGGGACTTCTGGCAGTCCTCCCGGCAGCCCATAAAAATCCTGGCTTTTTTCTTCATCAGAAGGGATATCATGAATTACTTTTATTACCTGACAGCGACGCGTATAGGATTTTTAACCGTGTAATTTAATAGAGGTTGGAAATCCTCCACGCGTCACTGGACCTTGACCTTTGATACTTTTCAGATGAGTGTGAAGCTTTACTTGCGAATGAAAGTGGCACTTTGCAACTGTGAGCGAACTCCAGCTCATTACTTAAAAAAAGCACCTAAGTATATTTGTGCACTATTTCCTGAATTTCCATTTCAACGACGCATTTCATTGTTGAGACCTGGAAAAATACGTAGAGCCCTCAGTGATGTCAATAGTACATGAGTAAAACTCTTTGCAAATATAATGGCTACAGGGCTTTGTATTATATTGCAATTTTCACATCAAATATAGCAACGCCAGCATCAAGGCAGACTCCCATGAAAACTTGAAGATAACGCACTGGGAGAAAACGTCTAGTACGGAGATTCGAACCCACGATCCTGCGATTAACCCATTGCAGTATGAAAACGGGTATACTCGTCGCCTGAAAACGAGTTGAAATATGCGCTTTTGTTCTATATTTTCTAAACGCATTTTCCATGCTATACGTGTAGTCAATTCTCGATAGTTTACTGATCGTTTTCGAAGCAAATTCATTAAATGTCACAATTTTATTTACTTGCAGAAATGATAATTTTCGCAGATTTAAGCATTGGCACACCACCAAAATTCTTACTGCATGGGTTAAAGAGTTTTCTGAACTGGGAGGGGAACGGGGACAGGATTCAGACTGCAAATGGAAGTGGGCGGAGCTTAACATCCATATCTTCGCTCGCTTTTGTTATGCAATTGATGACATCACCCCTTTCCCGTACTCATTCTGACGACGTTCTGCAAGCTCTGCTCTGCGCACACGAACGCAGAAACTCTTCCGAATATGACTCTACCAGGTGCCACGAAATGATCCTCTCTTGCTCTCAGGTGACAATAAGAAGTGGAAAGAAAAGAAATCCCAAGCCTCCCTCCTGAACTTCTCATTAATTTTAATATCTAGAGGCATACATTCCATGCTATTATAGTACAGTGTGTCAATAAAAGGGCAACCCTTATGAATCCTCAAAAAACTCATTGTCTCAAGATATCTTATTTTTACAAATTTGTATGCATGCATTTGATGCACACATTCTTCAAATACGAAAACATCGACACAACATTGCAGACTTGAAGGACTTGAAGAAAGACTTGCAGCAGGAATTCATGGGTCATTTTGACAAGCATGCAACAGCTTCACCATACAGTGAAGAAGCACAGTTCAATCATTGTGTGGCATCGTCTGAGTGGAAACGCTGCTAAGTATGGCCTTTTCAATTTCTGCGAGACTCTTGTGTGATAATGGCTATCACAGGCACTACGAGCACTACGTTCAAGCACTACGATTGCAGCAATACCAAGCGAGAAATTAAATTCACATTTTTTGGAAATTGTTTGTTTGCCAGCCTTATCCGTAATCAGACTTTACATACCCCACTGCCGCGAACAATTCAAAGCTCTGAAAACTCGGAATCTGACGTTGATTCTATTCTAATAGGCAGTATCTCATTCCAGAGTCGCAAATAAAGGGGGGAGGGAAGGGATGCATTCAGAGAATTCTCCAATCGCTGACAAAGAAACAGAAGCAGGAAAATATTCCAGTTAATGCATCTCAAATTAACCGTTTGGTAAGGTTTGGGGCCTCCTTCGATTCTGCGCGTTCGATGGATGCGGCTCCACCTTCAATTCGTTGCGTACGCTGCCCACATTAGTTTAGTCGCATTCTGGTCGACTTGCGCGATCTCCAGCTTCAAGGTCGTTTCTAAAAAGTTGCAATTCGCTTGTTGGTGCGCTCTAAAGGGAAAATCGTCATCAGATCAAAACAGGACGAAGGCACTAGATCAATTGCACTAACGATTCTGACATCTCACCATAGTGAGAACAAAAGTTGTCACTGTCTCAATGACTCACAAGTCCTCACCCAGCAAAAATTTAATAGATTTAAGATCCAAGGAACTTACTGTAGCTAACTTCTTTAAAACCCGAAAACTCTGTTCCTTGTGGGCATCCCTCTTTATTTTGGCTTTCTTCTTTACCCCATTTTGCCTCTACTCTCACCTATGTCTCCGTAACTGAGGAAGGGCCGATGCCCAAAAGCTTTCCCCGATTTCTGCTGTGTTCTTGTTTCTGCGATCGTGAATCTTTATTCACGTGCTTTGACATTTCGTATACAATATTTTTATGGATTATCTTTCGCTCTTTAACACTTTACTCATTGAACCTGGAGTCATTGTGAGGCTCAAACTGACTCCAGGTTCATCATTCTCCCGGTTCATATTGTTTCATTTTATATAGATAACAAAAGAAACTGTCCCTTATATGGATCACACTACCGTATTGATTTCCTGTTCGCTGGCAATTTAAAAAAAAATTCCCCCTGACCTGATCAGGCCCTAACCTGAACTAATGCTATAAATTGGCCAAACTTTTGAATCTGTCCTCATGAATCCTTTCTCAAATGACATAAAAAGAAAGCAACTTAAGAAACGAAAGATCAGTGAGATGAGAGGAAGCGAGAACTATCCTAGCCCGAATATGGAAGTCCTCAGAGGAGTGCATTACCCTGACGCCTTCAAGACTCTGTCTGACTTGCGGGACTTTCTATGATTCCATGCGGAAGAAAGTCTAGTTTTTCGCTCATTACCAGCCACTAAAATGATCATATGCTCATAGGGATAATGGATGAGGCTTTTCAGTTGCACCCACCATATGTATCTGCAATCGGGGGTGAAGTAAAAGTAGGTGAAGTAAGCATTTGTTTTATGCCGGATGGAGTCGAAACAACGGCAAGATCGCGATGGGAGCACGAATCAAAGCTGCATCTCTCACGGCTTCGTTAGGCCCACCTCCTTGACTCAGAAAACCCCGACGGCGGACCATGGCGCGCCCCGCGAGATCGATACGGGGGATAAGCGCAGCTTGCAGAGAGGGCATTTGGAACTCTTTCCGAGACACAACGCGGTATGTCACAGCAAATGCGCCTACTTACCCTTTCATCCTCACCTCTCGAGAAAAGCAAGAAGTACTCCTCTCCACTCATGCATCAAGGTCGTGGAACGCACCCCACATTGCACATGAATACTACTTTCCCATGGACTGGAGGCATTTATACAGCTCCTTCTCGAATTCCATTGGTGGCAATCGTTGAACGAGAGAAAACGGAGAAAAGGCTTATTTGACTCCATAAGAAATTTCCCTTCTGACAAAGTCACCTAAATGCACTGTGCTGAGACCTTGACCCCAAACAAATACATGGAAAGATTGAACGAATGAGATTATCGAATGGCTTCTAAGACGGCTTCTAAGACAGGGTCATCTATCAGCCAGTTTATTAAGAACTGGAGTCTGAACCTTCTATAATTCGGAAGAGTGAATTAATGAAATTAATAAAATTTAATATCAAAGAGGGCCTTCTCTGCTACCAACCCTGAATATTTAAAAAGAATTTTAAAGGCTACTGGCTCTCGCCCTCACATTTCCTCCACGTCCAACAGCGTCGATTCTTCTTGCACATTTTCTAAGGGCTTCTAGAGCCTGTGCACGAAAGAATCAGGCAGAGAGTGGGTATAGACTGATTCCGATGAAAATTGGGACAATCGTTCCTTTTCAGTCCAAACAACCAGAAAAATTGAAATATTCGAGTCGGCCAGGCAATGACCAGAGGAGACTTATGAGCTTCGTGGTATGCCGCTTGACGTTCGGAACATCCTACCCAAGTCCTCATAAAATTCATAGAAGATATCCCAACTGAAATGACAACAAAAGCCTTTTATCATTAAGGCTTTAGGGGTTTGAAAACAATAGATGAAAGATTGGAATCCACCTTCAAGGAACGACGCACTTGGGAAACCATCGATTGTTACAATGCGAGCATCAAGGGGTGTCATAGCAACGCATGGCGATGCAGTAACCCGAAGGTACCAGTCCCTTAACGGGCACGAGGGCGCAGCATATCAGGATCGACAAACTCCACCGTCACAATGGTCAGCGCATCCTTCGTATGTCCTTTTCGAAATCAAGAATCTGTCAAATTTAATTACTCACTCTGATCGTTAAGTATTTCTTTGGTATGTTGTCTTTCGCGTGAAGGACGCTATCACACAAGACTTCAGTACCATAAAAATGCCCATATTTCCCAACTGCATCACCGTTTCAACTTCCAATGTAAACGGCGGCGAAGAAGCTCCCAGAATGCTTATTCTGTAGGCCTATTCATAAGCCTATATTTTTAAGAGGAAGATAATTAGGAGAGATGCTGCAATATTTCATAGCTGTTACACAGAAAGAAATCAGTGTGTCAAATGACGCACAAAAGTGGGTCCAGGATCGTCTGAGTGACACGGAATAATGTGTCATGAGTTTTGACCTACTGAAACATGTCATTTGGCACGTCTTACTGCATCAGTAGACACATTTAAACGTGCCCAGCTTCATGACAGCTTATTCCGTGTCCCCAGGTCATAATCCAGACGTATCAATGGACACACACTGTAGTGTGTCATGGGACACAATTGCGCGTGTCCGTTGGGATATTCTCTCCTCCAGTGTTATTTGACACTGCATCTGTACGTGTAGATGCGTTAAAATGTGTCAACGCTTCTGACACATTTTATCACAACCGATATGAAGAATTCTCTCATGACACATATACGTGCGTCAAATGACACACTATATCGTGTCATTTCTCTCTGTGTATGCATAACGAAGGGTCAAATGAAACTGCATGAAAAATTCATAATCGATTATTGCCTGACGATGTTCACAGCTGTTATACCGATGCATGGCGGATCATTATTATGAAAGAATATAAACCCATTTCAGTTGCCCGAAAGGTTTCTTCTTAAATCCAGAATGTAGCACATATACACACGAGGGAATATGACAACTGTCGTCATTGTTTACAGTGACCAATCAGACATAGATGTTGGGTAAGGGCCTCAACAGCAGTCATAAACCTAGCCAAACCGTGCTGAAACCATGCTGAATACCTGTGGACAAGAAGGAAAGTCCAAGGGGGTTCAAATGATCTATTATTTCTGAGGGCACAGAATGATATGAAGGTCTTACCTACGACAGGTTGTTCAAGGGAACCCATTCGAACTTCGACTCATGGTGTGGAACGTAATTATTATGAAGATGTTGCAATCACAGTAAGGTAACTACATACCACGTAATTCACAATTACGTAAGCGACTACATAACGCGGATAATTAATTTGAATCAAGATCATGAGAACAAAGTAATAAAAAAATTATCTGGGGTTTCCAGAACTTCACACATACATTTTGGTCACGTGCGTTCCGAACCGAGATGCATGCAAATTTAAAGAGTTTGTTTTGCTTTGTAGGCTTAGCAACGCCTACAGCAGCTGTTCTGACACATTCCATGAAGTCATTAGAGGATAGTGTTCAGAAAATGACGAAATTTCTCGATCAAGTCAGGTCTCGATCAAGTCAAGAAAGGCATTGAGAGTTACAACAAACACAATTGTGTTTACAGCGAGAATGTATCAGCATCCACGTGGGTCAGGCAGGCGTGCAAATGGGGAATGCGTGCTGGGAGTTATATTGCCTGGAGCACGGAATCCAACCGGATGGGCTCATGCCATCCGACAAGAGCGTGGATTACGAAGGCGATACCTTCAACACTTTCTTCATGGAGACCGGTGCTGGGAAGCACGTCCCTAGAGCCATCTTCGTCGACCTCGAACCCACCGTCATAGGTAAGATTTAATCTAATTCTGTATCTTCGGTAATTATTTGACCATTTGAGGCCCCGGGGGCTACTCCCCTTATGGGACTTAAAGACTATATTGACAGCAAAGTTCTAGCCAATGCACAAGACATTATAATTCTGAAGATACAATCTAGCTGGAAGAGATTAAGAGAAGATATTTAACCCCAGTCACAGGACCCTGTGTCGAAAGTTTGAGGTGGAAAATTTTTCGTCACTACGGAGACAGTTTGTCACGGCAGGTATCGTCATCAGATTTATCGCATCTACAATTGAAAGAGAATTCAATAAGAGCTTCCTTAATTACCGTGATTATTGTTGCTTTCTCGTAGACGAGGTACGGACAGGAACATATCGGAGCTTATTCCATCCTGAATTCCTCATCACTGGAAAGGAAGATGCGGCCAATAATTACGCTCGAGGCCATTACACTGTCGGTGAGAACAAAAAAAATAGATATCAATACAATACATGGGTCTGCACAATCCTGGAGTATTGCATTTTTGTCTGGTTTAAAATGCCAACGCAGGAAAGGAGATAATCGATCTGACGGTCGACAAGGTGCAAAAGCTGGCCGATCAGTGCGGCGGGCTTCAGGGTTTCCTTATATTTCATTCCTTTGGTGGGGGATCTGGATCCGGCTTTACTTCCCTATTGATGGAGAAACTCAGCGTCGACTTCGGCAAAAGGGCCAAGCTCTCCTTCTCCATCTATCCTTCTCCAAAGGTTTCCACCAAAATATTCCTCAGGGCATTTCCTTCGAACCGTATTATATGCTTGAGACTTCCCAGGTGTCGACAGCAGTGGTAGAGCCATACAACGCCATCTTGCACACGCACACAAGCATGGAGTACGTGGACGTGGCTTTCATGGTCGACAACGAGGCCCTCTTCGGTCTATGCCAGAACAAGCTGAATGCCGTTTCGCCGACGTACACCAATCTGAATAGGCTGATCGGACAGTTGGTCTCAAGGTATGACTGTTCTTCGACCAGATCGGTATGGCTGTATTCCGAGTTCCTGAGTTTGCGAGTGAATTCATCTTCTTTGTAGCATAACCGCGTCTCTGAGGTTCGACGGAGCGCTGAATGTGGATCTCACCGAATTTCAGACGAATCTCGTGCCTTATCCTCGCATCCATTTTCCTATTGTGAGTTTTATCCTCCATGAGATGGAAGAATCGCCGGTAGAAAATAGAGAGGAATGATTTTTCTCCTCTTCAAGGCAATGTGGGCTCCGGTTACATCAGCAGAAAAGGCCTACAACGAGGCCATGACGGTGGACAACATCACTCAGCAATGCTTTGAACCCGACTGTCAAATGGTACGGAGTGATATATAATTGCTTTATATTCGCCTATCGAATGATGCAGCTGCATTCATGCAGTGAAGGAATGGCATAGTGACTCCTACTTCCACTGGAATCGATGGCAATGACATTCTGACAGAATGTTTCAAGACAAGAAACTCCAAACGAAAAAGTCACGAAATTGTAGCCAAGAGAAAAAACAAAACCCATTCCGAATTATATTTTGAGCGTTAATTTTTTACTCAAGACCTTTTAAATTTTCACAGTAACTAGCGGCCTGCAGCCGCTTTGCTGGCAGTCTAATGGGCGGAAATTTGAAAATGTTTACTTAAAGATATGAAGCAGTTCCGTTTAAACCAAACATTTAAAAAATTAGATTAGAAAAAAGTAGATTAAAAGTATACCAAAGTTTTCTATGGCCTAGAATGGCAAATCCTTGTAGGTCCCGCGCGTTAGGAGTGACAGTCACCACAACTTTCGGCCTCTTTCAATTAAAGTATTAGATACTAAATGACTCCATAATCAAGTCGAGGTCAACATTGCATCCTTGACCAGATCATACGACATACTTATCATGTTAGGTCAGAAACACGATCAAGGTAGGGATGAGATCTAGCGAGGTCCATATTTAGGGGCCATACGCCAAAGATAACGTGATAGCATGGGATCATTGGAATCAGCTCATCAAGCTGAGCGCACGATGCCGTCTTCCGGCAAAATGTTGAAATCGCACATGTCGACAATCCGCTTGTTGATTAGCAATGATAGCGAATTCCTGAACATCGAATGAATGCAAAGTTGAAAGTCAAAATGGCGAGTGAGAATAGTCAACTTGAATTTTTCTTTCTCCTGTTGATGAAGCCTCCAAAACAATATGGCTTTGTCCATGTTTATTGCTTCCATAAATTTTTCCCTCGATGTCACAGGGATAAAGTGCCTGAATATTATCCACCTTCGCTAGTTCTTTTTGGTTCGGTGCTGGTTTTTATCGATTCGTCATAGGGGACGTTACGTCTTGCGCATGCAGTCTGCGGTTCTGGCACACTCAATGCTCATTCTCCTTCGTGCATTATTCACAAGTGAATAAATATCCATGCACGAGCAACATGCTGCCACCTTTCTGAGAATACATGCATTGCATGTTGGTCATGATATTACTGACCCAACTCGACTGGCGGCTTTACGTGACAGAGGGTTTGTTACTGATTATGCTAAACCACAAACTCTGGCTGATGCAGACAGGTGCTCGATTGACTAGACGATCCTGCATGCACTAAGGGGTAAGAAGAAATCTTCTCTCCCTGAGTTCCTTCAGGGCTTGAGGAACAGGATAGTCCGGAGCTCATTCAGATGTTGAATTCGTGATAATTGACGATTTTCAATATTTTGACCCCTTCAGTGTTGCAACAATCGACATTATGCACACACGATGATTGGGCATTCAGTATTTCATGCTTATCGACATAAACTCTGACGTCATTCTGGCTTTCAACATTCTGCAATAGAATCGTATTGTATGGCATTACTCGTACATATCTTTTTGTGTATCTTGTAACATTTGGAAGTAAAGCTTCTCATCTTTATATCCGATTTCATGGACTTTGTTATGATATGATGAGGAGAGAATTACCAGACCATATGACGTACATTGAGGAGAAAATCCAGACGAAATATACGAAATGCATGAGGCGTACTGAATCGTGAAAATATTTTTTGCTTAAAACCTTAATAGCCTCTTTTCTCTCTGCAGGTTCGTTGCGATCCCCGGAACGGGAAATATATGGCAGTGTGTCTCCTCTACAGAGGCGACGTCGTCCCGAAAGATGTCAACGCTGCCATTGCAAAAATGAAATCCAAGAAAACCATCGATTTCGTGGACTGGTGTCCGACGGGATTCAAAGTACGCACTTGCACCATTTAACTACTACATAAATTTAAGATAAAACCCGAAATCGCTACATGTCCAGTTTCCTTAGGTGGGGATAAACTACCAGCCACCGACAGTGGTGCCCGGAGGAGATCTGGCTAAGGTGCAGCGGGCAGTGTGCTGTCTCACAAATTGCACGGCCATTCAGGAACCCTGGGACAGACTCAACCACAAGTTCGACTTGATGTACGCCAAACGGGCCTTTGTTCACTGGTTTGTCGGCGAAGGCATGGAGGAAGGTATGGTGACTATATTCTTTCCCGTACCGTCCAAGAAAAGAAATGCAATATTTGCATTGCTTCATTTTCAGGAGAATTTTCGGAGGCTCGAGAGGATTTGGAGGCCCTGGTCAAAGACTATGAGGAGGTCGGGGCTTCTGACAGTCGATAGAAACCATGACGTTTTTTCTCTTGGGAATATCATGAATTACTTGTATGACCCAACACTGACGTGTTTTGGATTTGTACGGGAATCGATCACGCGCCAATTTAGCCTGCTATTAAAGAGTTTCCTGAACCAGTCGAGGATAGGGGACGAGATTCAGACCGCAAACAGATGTGGGCGGAACTTAACATCCATTCCTTCGCTCACTTTTGTGATGCAACTGATGACGTCACCCACTTCCCGTATTCATTCTCTGCTCGGGGACGACATTACACAAGCTCTGCTCTATGCAAACGAAAGCTGAAATTCTTCAGAAAATCTGACTCTACAAATTGCCACGAAATAATCATTCCCTGCACAAAGACAATGATTAGAAGTGGAAAGAAGAGATGAAGAAAGAAGAAGAGAAAGAAGAGAGAAGACCCTCCCTCTTGAACTTCTCATTAATTTTAAAATCCAGAAGCATACCTCCCATGCTATTGTATAGTCCATATCCATTTCTAAAGACCTGAAATCTCTCTGAGTAAATCCTCAAAACCCTTGAAAAAAACTTGACCTTTCCCACTCAGGAGAATGGAAAAGGATAAGTCATTTTACAATCTTTTCCGGGTTCACCCTTCTACTTTAGCAAGAATCTATATCGTCTCGATGAGCATAAGATCCTCTACTTTGTCGTTCAGCTATCACAAAGCATGAAGATGTCTCTGTGTTCCCTTGCCTTTTTTTGGCATACAGAATGAGAAAATAAGAAAGGAAAACATTTTCGAATCCTCATAAGACTTCATTGTTTCATGAAATGTAATTTAAACAAATTTCCATGCAAACATTTAAAGGATATAATTCCTCATACATGAATTTATGCATTCTCTTGACAAACTTACCACAGCTTTGCCATGTAGCGAAGAAGCTCAGCCACAATCGTTGTGTGGCATCACCTGATTGAAAATGCTGCTGCAATATCTTTTTCTGTGAGACATTCGTGTAACAGCCACGGTGAAGCACTTTGCCTGGAGTAACACCAAGCGAGAGTTTTATTTCACCTTTCCTTGCTTCCTTTCTGGAAGTTGGATTCATTATTTTCACAACTAAGGCCGATCTCATGCTCCTGCTATACAGCACGTCAAATGCTGGAATTACATGCTGCACTGAAAAATCCAGTCCTGCATGGCCAGTTGCCGGACTGTGATTCTGCAATGCATCAAGAAATATGTTATACAGCAGCTAGATACCGCTTGTTGTCAAGCAAACATTTTGTGCTGTACAATTGTCTTTTTTCGAGCTGGATTGAATAGAAATCATTACTACTAGTATACAGGGTGTTCCAAAAGAAACTACCCACTGTTTGTCAGGGTATATTTCCTGGTAAAATGCATAGGCAATGATAATTTTTGGCGTGTGTATTATAGCCTAAAGGGAAAGTAATATACTCGGGGATGGCTGGAAGATCTCGCCTTAGCATTGCAGAAAGGGTACAAATAGTCAAA